ATGTTGAAAATCCAGTTTATTTGGTCTAAATGAATCTCATTAAAAATTTGACAAAATAGTATTGCCATCTTCTAGAAAGCAACTTCATTTGTTGATCTTTCATCATGTAATTTGCTATGATATTTCCTTGGGTACTAGAAATTGACATTCAGCAGCAATGTACTCAAAATAATTAAAAAAAAACTATTCCAACAACATGATCAAATTGAGTTGGATTTGGCTCTAGAACAATATTTTGTTGTGGAAGTTATGTTCAGCCCTAATGAGATATATAATATAGTTCCTTGGGGCTCTCAAGATCAATGTGGTTGGACAATGAATTATGGCCACAATATGCAGATATTCTTACAAAGCACATGTGGTCCCCATACTGATCTTTGGGAAATTAATAATTTAGAATTTCGTGGTCAGTTCATGTATCCCAGATGCATGAGGGATACATGAAATTAGTGGAATCAGAAAGCATGTGTAATGTAATGAATTGAGAAAAACCAAAATAACTCATTAAATTATAAATACATCTAATAATGCGTGAATTACAGGAAAAATATCACTATTTTGCGATGTCTCGTGAAAGTGTTTGAGAATAGCAAAATAGTGTTGTTTCCGTTTGATAAAAATCTTTTTCAAATTATAGACCTTAATGTAACCCACTGAAATTAAATAACAGAAGAAAAAGTAATAGAATCAAAGGTATAGTTGATGGAAAATATAAGCAAAAGAAAGATTTTGCTCCATTATGTATTTTATATATTATATTTCTTTGTATAAGAAATATCTTGTTTCCACTGACTGCATTATGTTTTCAACCGTTCAAAATAAATACATTAATAACCCCAAAAAAGAAAATAAAGAAAGGCTTGTAATGCATTTTCCATATGTGAATTATGACCGCTTTAATTTTCTTTACAAAATCAAGCGTATTTTGGAAGGTAGGCCATGCATTTTGAGGATGTTAATTTTGACAGGTCTTCTTGCTTTTCTTTGTCATTCACACCAAAAGCAGCTTTTCTCATAGATACCCAAACTAATAGCTGAGAATCCAAATTAATGAATAGATGCCTTCATTGGGAAGAAAAGCAAAATAGATTAGGCCCAGAACAGAGAAAAGGATTAAACTGCTTTGCCTAATGCAGAAATTTTGGCTTGAATGGATGATTGATTATGTGGATCCAGCTATGGCAGGGGTCCCATGGCACTCAGTTAACTAGATTTTCTAACTTCATGAGGCAGTAAAGGATGGGAAATTAGGTGCAGTGAAACCAAAAACCATTACAATTTGCAACTTGCAATCATAAAGAGGACAATCTGATGAAAAAGCCTCTTTCAGTATTTTTTGGTTCCAACTATTTTTTCCCCCTCAAGCTCTTGGAGGAGTGCCGGAAACAGCCATTCCGGTGGAATGGAAATGGAACAAATTTTAGCGATCCTATTTTAGGAACTTTTTTTTTTTTTCCTTTTGCTCAAATTCTTCACTGCAAAATGTTCTCAGTATCATATACAAGACCTTCCAGATAATGGAGGCCAACTATTATTGCAAAAGCTCATATTTGCTATCAATGTAACCCACAGACGGAGCAAAATTATCAATTGTATTAGCAGGAAAGCAGCAGGAGCATTCATTTTCTGTGAATTGTCAAGCCTTCCAATGCTTTTTACCACCATAAAACAAAACTTGAATACAACTGAATTTCATTCTCCAAAATATTTTACAGGGTTCACTGTGTTCTTAAAGCCTTGATCCAATCAATTTCAAGCTTGAAATCACCCGGTCCAACTCTAGCACCTGGGAGACCACCTTCTGCATTGACTGATAGAGACATACCAACAACGCGAGAAGGATTCATTTCCATTTCTGCATCTATAACATTTCCTCTCCATGTTGGTAGATACCGGGCAAGAGGAATCTGAAAGACCATACAAAATTAGCAGAAAGGAAATTGATTTGTATACATCAATTATTTAAAGTTATGACTGCACCAACAAATGCAATAGTTCAGTGTTTTCAGAGCGTCCTGGTGCTATCATATCAGATGTTGACCCAAGATAGGATAAAAGAAAAAGATGACGCATTCAGTTATGAGCTCCAGAAAAATGACGTCACAGACTCAAACCATCATGAGGGTTATCAGTTGGCATACCCAAAGAAATTCCATTAAATTAAATTTCATGTTTCTTGGGATCTCAAACACAACCCAAGAAACATGAAATTCTTGCCTCCCTATGAGAGCCAGGTTCATCATATCATGTTTCTAAGCAACAAAGGTTGAGGTAAGTATAACTTGCCTTTGCAATGTACCAGTTGTCTTTGGGTACAAAAACAAAAGCTTGCCACGAATTATCTTCTTCTTGCCCAGGTGAATTTACCCAATTTTCTGTATAGATCTGCATATGCAAGAACCTCATCAATTAGAACATGACAAACAGCAAGAACCTCATCAATTAGAACATGACAAACAAAGAAGTATGGATGTACAAGCCTTACATTCCAACTCCTCTCACATATTGATCAAAGACAAAAATACTCACCGTAGATATGTAGCATCTTCCATCTCCTCTAACTTTCAGTGCTATGGTATCATATGGGTCCAAATCAATGAAGCCGTCAAACTGCAGAAGAAACAAATAAATATCGAAATGATGCCAACTAAACCCTGTCTTTGGTGGGCTAACAATATTTAAGTGGGTACTTATATGCTGTAACTAAATCATTCCATCATTTTGTGTTGATTTTGAAGCATAAATCTAAAATTTGCATTGTGGTCATAACAAACATGAGTAACAATAATGTCCATTTGGTGTCCGAAAATTGGAAAACAGATCTTCTCTCATCTTCAGGAATATAGAATCAATAACTTGTGTTTTTCATGAACAAGAAAAACTGGAGTAACACACATTCACACATGAAATTGAAATCAACAAACAACAAGAATAACAATTACTGTGAATGAGCTAATAACTTAAAACCAATAAGGCGGCAATCTTAAGACGATACAGAATAGTAATAAAATATTCAAATATCATTAAGAAAACTTTTCTGTCTTCATTTCTGACATTTCAACTACATCCCTAAAATGTTGGAACACTGTTCACCGCTTACCTTTTTGGAACGCATTCCACAAAAGCCACTCCTGTTTATCTTCAATTTTGAACCCTCAATGAAATCCAACGAAAGGTTACCCGAGAAAATTCCTAAAAATTTATAGTGAGAATGGTTTCAGAATGTAAGTGTGTAATAAATAAACTATTGGTAACAGTAAAGAACTAATGAGAGCAGGTGAGCTAGTAGTATAATGTGGATTCACAAACTTTGCAATTTCGTAAGTTAGAATAGTGATTAATCTTATCTGAATCTTACATTCAAAGTACAGACAGTATCCTACAACTTTCACACCAAGGCATTAACCTGCCTTATCACCTAAGCAGTAGTTCTCCATTTCACTTTATTTAGTATCAGAACATGAAAATGTAACTTTTATTACAAGCAAGCATATATTTGAAATAAAATTTTCTAATTGCAGTTTCTTTCCCTTCATTTCTTGGAAGACCCTGATTAACCTTTTATCCATGAAAGTTGTGTTTAGAGCAAAGATAAATTAAACCAGTAACTATAGAATCTATTTGACATGTTTCCATTTAAAGGTCAGTGTTGTCCATTACCATTGGGTCCATTTCCAGTATCTGGGATCTCTAAAGATGCCGAGGACAACCCTGCAAAAGAAATAGGTGTTGAAAGGTATATTACAATCATAGCAATTTACTGCACATCTAAAATGAAAGTGAGGAAAAAAAAAATAGTGAAACAAATTCAGAAAAGAAAGTTCAAATTCCCATCAACTGATACAGAGCAATGTTGCATGCACGGAAAAACTCCATTGTAGATTAAAACTGCACTCACATGAACTAATAAACTAGAGAATAACTCCTAACTTCTTTTAGTTTTTTCTGATGTATTCACAAAAGGAGACATCAAAATTATGTACTTCCATACCTCCATATTCAGAATCAGAATATAGATGCCACTTCTTGAGCTCATCCTTCGAATTGAAATTGAAAATATATCTCTCAGTTGGAGGCACCAAGTCTTCAACATTCCATGTAAGTGCTAAAATTGACATTCGATATAAAAGAAACCAGGATAATGTTAATACAACAAAATTGTTTCAATATTGATAACTTTGTGTATCACAAGTTGCATAACTTCATCTATTAATGTGGAAAAAGCGAAACATCTGTGCTTACTTACTGATACGAAATCAAGAAGTAGACTTCAAAATCCTATAAAACTGGAAGAACACAAATAAAAAAATGTTTGACCATCATAAACTTTTGGTGCTAAAGTGTTAATGTACCATAAGGCATTAACCATGATCTTGAATATATTCGGACATAGTAAGTGAATTCTTATATATTCTTCAAAATTCTAGAAATATATGAAAGTATCACAACTAATCAAACAAATTTGACTCTGCTGGACAAAATAAAAGTAAAATTAGGGACAAGTCATATAGAATGTAAGGCAGTTACACACATTTTATATGCATGAGATTCTCTACTGTGTCATGGAAAAAGATGGAAAACAAAGGAACAGATGGCAATAGTACCTTTCTTGGTTGCATTTAAGGAAGCTTGCAACAGTCCTCGAAACCTGGACATTTCTCTTTTCTCAGGGTTCCTACATTAACAAAAAAAAGCCAAATGCTTTAGACATTTTAGCATGTACCAAAATAGAAACTGTCTCTAATGGGAGAGGAAACACTCTTCACCAGTGTGTTTGAAGCAGTGTTTTCAAAGGAATGATTCGCGCGCGTCGGAGCGAGGCGGCAGCAAATCGCCTCAAGGCGTCGTTTGTTTCGCGAGTTGCACGTTTAGCGCTGGGAAGGCGTGAGGAGGCGTTTCAAGGCGCAGCGAGGCGGAGCAAGGCGGCAGCAAATCTGGACACTCAGAACTGGAAGAAATTTTGGGAGTCTGCAAATTGGCTGCCTCTCTGCGAGGAAGACGACTCGCGTGGTTTTTTTTTTAGGTCAATTGTAATGAAACGACGTCGTTTCGATTGAAGTGTTAAAAAAAAAACTTAAAGTGAAACGACGTCGTTTCACTTGGAGTGTTTTGAAAAAAAGAAAACACGCAAGTTTCTGTTTTTTTTTTACTTCCCTTAATTTGTAATAAACTTAAAGAAAGAAAATTAATATCTTCTTACCTTTTCTATCTCCAGCCGACTGTAGCTTTTCCACTTAACTTCTTTTTTTTCCCCCATAAATTAATATATTAACACACACACATATACATATATAGTACAACCCTAATTTCTACTCTTACTAGATAATCTCCATCAATTTTAAGAATTCTCTTCATTTTTCGACTGCAAGTAAGTCATTTATTTTTCTCTCTAATTCTTCGCAACTGTAATTTGAAGTTCCGTATTATTTTTTTTCAATTTTTAAAAAATATATTAGTTATCTTATTCGTTTATATGATATAGTAAAAATTTGACGTATATGCATCATACTTGTATCTTAGAAATATTAATTGTTTTATAGCTATGAATCGAAAAGATCCTGCGTGGAAGTATGCAAAAGAAATAGAGGGGGAAAAATACTTGAGATGCACATTTAGTACTTATATTTAATTATATTTAAAAGATTGTTATGGTTCAATAAGAATTAGTTGTACAATTTAATTGTATTGTATTATTCATAAATTTTTCTTACTAAAATAAATTAATGTTCAAAAGGCTTACGCCTCAATGCTTCAAGGCTTACGCCTCA